GATATCGTCGGCCTAAGATGCAAATGGCCTGACTACACTTTTTACCAAAGATACGTTTTATTGGCTACCCGTTAGTTAAAGATCTGTACTGTCGATTCGAAATGGCCTGTCAAGTCTATTTTAAATATTCGCACCAAAAATTACATGACTCATTTAGTATAACCCCTTTACATTAAGGTTAGGTCTAAAAGATTTTTTGCATTTCCTGAAAAATTTATATTTTAGGAGTTAGGCCAATTGCATCTTAGACCGACGATATTCAATAAATATATTCAACCTATAATATTCTTCAACTATATTAGCCTTAATGTTATTATTTCTATATGAGATTGTTGTTCGTATGCATAATTTTACGCGTTGTTGATTAAGTCGCTAAAAGCCAGGGGGGGGGCAACTGCCCCCCCTTGCCCCTCCCAAACGACGCCCATGTTTACAATGGATATCTTCTTACCTTTTTGTTTATAACAATTCTTCAGAACTAGTTTTTTTTCCAGTATGTTATTAGAGGACTGTTTTTTTCTTTTCCAAGAAAGTAAAAATCGTTTAAATCGGTTGGTTGTATATCAACGTCTAACAACTTGTTAAGATAAATATAGATATTCTCTGGAGTTAGATTTTTGTTTGGTTCTTCTAATTCAAATATAACTAAAGTGTTGTTTTATATTTTCTCTATGTACCTATATATTCTATCTCTTTCTTCAGTATTTCATTTTCTTGTTCGAGTTTTCGTACTTCTATTTTCAGTAAAAGTCTTGTTTCTGATGCTTCTATAGTATTTTTTTATTTTCGTTCGGTTCTTAACAATTTCCTCAAATAACTATACATTGGAAGTAAGTGCTTATTCTCCAGACTTTTTTGCGAAAAAAATTTGTCTCGGATTTAGTAGTGGACTTACATAGTGTTCTTGACTTCTCTTGGCGCACTTGTCGATACATTTACCAATTGTTTTAACATTGTTTTTTGAAACGTTTTTTAAAATTTGTTTTGTTAATTCAACTGCTTTTCTTATATGCTGCTTCCACCTTTTCTTGTATTTATTGTATTTAAAAATTGATACAGACTAAGGTGCGGCGAATAAGCAAATTTTAATTTAGTATCGATACTTTACACTCGTTTGATTTACGATTGGATAAATGCTTATTGATTTTTTTTTGTTGCAACGTCTATACGGTACAGACAAATGTAAATAATTCTCGATGAATAACGTAGGTAGAAGTCGGAGCCGTACCATCTGTCTATTATCCCGAGGTACCGACGTTTTTGATTAATATACTCAAGTCCTCATTATAAGATTTTATGGTTAATTATAACGATTTTAAACGTAGTTTCATCGAAACTGGTTAACGTAGTTGTTAATCCATCATCTAGTAACTCAAAATTATATATACTATTCATTGTTGCAGAGTACGTATGGTTTATAAAAATTATTTGTACAGGATGGTTTGTCATTTAGTGTTGCTTATTAGCGACCATAAGTGATAACTCTAAATTAAATAATTTCAAAAGTCATTTCTATCTTCAAAAAAAAGATCAAAAATGAAATAGAAAATTATATAACAATAATAATTTTTCTAAAGTTTTGACGTTTTGTTTATACAAACCAATATATTCTCATTTTAGTGGGCAATTAACACCTTATCAACACGGTTATGTAAAAAAAGATTCACAACTACCAACCTATTTTGCATAATACAGTTTATATCAGACACTATTAATTCTCGCTTGCAGGTGAACGTGATCTACACTAATTTTTCTAAAGCGTTTGATAAACTTGAACATAACATTCTTGTAAGCAAGTTAGAAAGTTTAAATTTTTTTGAAAAATTCATTTTGTTAATCCTATCTTTGAAATCATCACTTGCAAGTTGAGTGTTGTGGAGAAAAGTCCGTGGAAGTTCACGACCACTTCTGGAGTACCGCAGGGCTCAATGTTGGGCCCATTATTTTTATCAACGACATAATTGCGGATCTTATACTTTACTACAAAATTAATAATGTATCCGACTCTGAGAAAATGCAAACTGACAAACAAGGTTAACGAATGGTGTGTAAAAAATCGGCTCCTATTAAACCCATCTAAATGCTATGTCGTGAGTTATTCCTTAAAACAAAATATTATTAGAGCTAATTATTTGCTTGATATCACATCGATACCTAGAGTAGACTTAATCAAAGATCTTGGGGTATGGTTTGACTCACTAGCAAAGAAGGCATCAAAGATTGAGAGAGAAAATAGAAATTGACCTGATTTATCTTTATACAAAGGTGACGACATTAAAAGATAATTTACAGCACACCAATACACCTCAAAAATGTTCCAGATGTAATAACTAAATAAAAGAATAATCAAGATCCAACACAAACTAGAGAAGACATTAATACCAAAATTACTCTGCTAATTTCAAAATTGTAATTACAAATTCGAAAATTACTAAATTCAGATCTGTCATCATCAAAAAATGTAAAAGTAAAATTACTCTTCTCATCAAATTTTAGGCAGACCTGGTCCTTCCATTGGACTAACAACGTAGGTAGTGACAAACCTAATTAAGGAACATTCCCTTGTGAAATTCAAGGAATGGTGGGATGAAACAAGAAACTGCAGAGTTGCCAGGGAGCTTTCAAGTTCGATTTAAAATCGATAGAAGTTGCATTTTGGTACGTGAGTAACCATGTACTTCACTATGACTTAAATGCCTTTCAAAAGGTGTAAAATCCACCGAGTTACAACTCCATACAACAAACGCATCATACATCATGTAAACAAATTAATAGAGGAGCTATTTACTTACTAGAATCTGGCCTCAAGATCTATTTCAAAAATAAACTAATGTAGAATAAAGTGAAACATTACTGGGTGCCTTTTCTACCACGAGCAAAACTTGTTACATATTTACTTGATGTAGACTATAATATAAATAGGAAAAATTAAACAAAAAACGTATTAAGCACTTAAGTAGGTGGAGAAAAGTATATTGTAACAACCAAGTGTCTAAGGACCAACGCTCGTCATCAAATGTAACAACCAACTGTCTAATGACCATTTGTAATTACTGATAGGGCTTTAGCTACTGTTGTTAATATACTATTAAGGGATGAGGGCAGCGCCGTCACCGGCCAAAGGACCCTGAAGTCCTGAAGGAACATCTATTCACCAGTGGCAAATAAAAATAATAAAAAAATTAAATTAAAAGAATAAAAAAATCATCCCTTAATAGCATAGTCGAGCGGTTCTTGGCAACTAGTTTTAGACTCTTTTGGTCCCAAGGGAATATAAACTTCTCAAATGCTCGGAGTATTTTGCTGGTTTGGAAATGGAGGAGAGATTAATAATAAGTATTAAAACATTAACAAATGTATATTAACAATAAATATAAAATTTGACGAATAGTCTTAAGAAAAAATTGAATAAAATTCCATTTAGGGAATAAGGCACTATAACTACATAGTAATATAAAGATAAATATAATTCGGGACGAAAATGTAAAATTGGCATTTATATGTAAATCAATCAATCAATTATTATTAAACAAAACACTTTAAAATTAAGTTAAAATATTTACCCATAATTCACATCGTACACAAAACTTTACAATACAAAACGACAGCTTTCGCCCCTGGAGCGAAAGTTCTGGACCTTAGTCCGAACTCGACTGCGAGTTTACCGAAGCGATGCTTTCTTTCTGTCTCCTCTCTATATAAACCAAAATTTACGTGATGGTTAATTGTATTTAAAAATGTCACGCTCAATGTAGAATAATAACCTGAAGGTTTGTTTCATTTTCATACGTGTCTTTTTAATTATTTAATTTAAACATTAAATACCTATTTAGAATTTTTGGTAAATTCTTTAGATTTTTTCAAATAATAATAGTGCCAATTATTACAATATAACACTTTCTTGTTGTACTTAACATTTTGGAACGTTGGTAAACTGAGATATAAAACGCGAAATAAATACCAAATATACTCTCAAGTTTAGTTAGTTAATTCGAACCATTTTTATTTTAACCATCGAGTGGATCCATTGTTGAAGGATTATCCGCAAAAGAAAATAAAACCTTTCTGTAAAATGCCGGTTGATCGAGAGCATTTACTAACAATGCAACGTCGAAAAAACGTACCTCTAAGTCGATCCTTTTAGTGCACTCGACCGAAAATGGAAGCGCGGTGTCTGATGCTTTAAAAAGGATGCGTTTATGTAACTGCTTTTCAGTTAATAAACGAACTGTTTGGGTATTCTTTCTAGCGTACTGGGAGGATGTTTCGAATATAAAATTTGAAAATCTAAAAGATGCAGCAGGTGTAACTAACTGTATATTTAAGGCGCCGAGGTATTTTTTTTGTTTTCTCAACTTTGTCTCGAGTTTAAAACTAACATAATATCAAAAATGTGATTAGTTTGAGTTTGTGCTCTTTATTTTTATCTGGCATAATTTTTGTACGATATATTTTAGCATTCGTGTTAAAAGAGGAATTCAATAAACACAAGCAGAAGAAGATAAAATCTTTAAAGTAAAATATTAAGGACGTGCAAAGGAAGTGAGAAGTCTGAACAAGTCCTCTTAAACATAGACAACAAACAGTTATCCGTCAGGTGCTGCCTCTTGTTAAGCGACTCCCTAACAAATATAAATTTAGCAGTGACATTTTTGGAAGGGGAGGCGATTGTATAAAAATACAGCAGGCCAGTAAGCACAGGCGAAAATTTTTAGCGGCGCATTCACCATTTTGTCAAAATATTGCTTTTTTTCCTCAGTACTACGGATATTCGAGATTAAGATTTTTGAAGTGTTACTTTTACTTTATTACCTAGTTTAGTACTAGAAGCTATAAAAAAACGTACCATTAAAAAGCTTCCTTGGTTTATTTAAAAGTAAAAAAATCATTTAACTGAAGTTTTTTTTATTTTTTCAGCATTTTTGGCACAGTTGACACAGCAGTTGACATTTATTTATACTTAAGATCTATTCGCCTATCCTCAATGGCTGCAAATTTGTCTATAACATCGTCGTAAAATTTTGGATTTTTTGATAACTGTTTAAATTAGAGAGTCTGTCTTCACTTGTTGAATTTCGTATAAAACTTTTAATGCGCTTTAAAGCTGAAAAATTTCGCTCAACTGACGCACTTGTGGCTGGGATGGTTAGTACTAATTCACAAAACTTGACAACTTCACAAAGGGACTTTTTTAAACCAGTTGTTATAAGAAAATTTGACACATTGATGGACATCTTTTTATCACTAATTTCAGTTGTTTCATAAACAACACTTAACTGGGACTTTGATGCTGGAATATCGAAAAAAAATCCATAATTTAATTTTAGTAAATTAAAAGCTTCCGGTGGAAATTTTGATGAATCATAGTTACTAATATTAAAATTGCACAATTCAACAAATTTTATTTCGTTAAAGTTTTGAAATCGAGAATTCATTTGTTGTAGAATATTATCAAAAATTTCGACGTATAATCGACGATAGGAGGTCTCTCTGTCGCCGACAATATCAATTCTAATTCTCTTTCTTTCAGGTTCTAAGCCAATCTTTTGAGTTTTATTCCAAAAGTGTTCAAACTGATCTCCTTTTTTATTCATTTTATTTTTAAAATCATCAATTTGTTTAATGCAAAAGCCAATGTCATTTGACTTTGTCTGTAAAATGTCGAATAAAATGTCAGTAATAGGGAAAATCTCTGCAAAAATGTTAAGCAAAAAATTGAAATCAAAGTTTTGTTTGAGCCAATGCAAATACCCTTTAGCAGCAGTAACAGTTTCAGCATCCCATGTTTCTTTATTATCCCAAACGTCTTGAAATCACTGTATTGAAACACTAAACGTCCATTGCAGTTGCATCGCATTGGGGCAACTTTTGGAAACCTTCTTTGAACGTGAACGTCCAAAGCACAAGTTCTTTTCGATGACTTTGAAAAGAAGGAAGCCAAACCACTAAGCGTCGAAAACAAAACTTAGCAATCTTTAATATTATCCATGCTTCGCGATAAAACCAAATTAAGTCTATGTGCTATACAGTGAACCAAAATTGCATATTTAAACTTTTCTTTCACTTTAGCTTGAAGGCCTCCTAAATGGCCAGCCATTACGTCAGCACCATCGTAGCTCTGGGCAACAAGGTTAGAACCACATTCTAAACTTGAAATAATGTCACAAACAATTTTAAACAATGCATCTGCAGTTCTTTCGCTAGTGACGTCCAAAAATCCTAAGAATCGCTCTTGAGGAATGCCATCCAATACATATCGCACAACAATGGATAATTGACTTAAGTTTGCTACATCTGTGATTTCATCAAGCGCAATTGATACGAAAGGTGCTTTTTTAATTTCACTTTTAATATGATCCATCACAACGTCGGCAGTGCATTGAATTAAATCATTTTGGATTCTGTTGGAGGTACCTCGGAAAGTCGTCGAATCAATAAAATGATTTTTTAGGGTATTATCGTATTTTGCTAAAAAACTTAGAAGGTCCATATAATTTCCTCGATTGGCGGATCCACTTGCTTCATTGTGACCCCTAAAACTTAGTTCATGTTCTCCCAGGAAACAAGTTACAACTATTAATCGTTGTAAGACGTCCCTGTTTTTTTTCCCTTTCATTGTGAATTTTGTTGCTTATTTTTAAATGATTGTCCAAACTATGTTCAATGCAATAGGTCCCGAATGTTTTTTCTTTAATTGTAGCTCTTATATGAGATTTGCTATTTACATGTCGTTTTACACTTTTGTGAAAATTATTCAAGGTAATACCGACTGAGTTCCAATGTGTTTTTTCGACTATATTAAAAAGTAGGCAAGGCCAGCAAAACAATTTCTTCAAAGTTTTGCAGCCGGTTAACCATTCATACTTTTCATAGAACCCTACGTGAAAATGCCTGGTACATTCCTTTGCTGATTTTCTACTTTCGTCTCTAATTTGATAGGATCCTTTAGTCTATTAGAATTTCTAATGTCCGTTTTCTCTTCAAAATTTCTACTTGAAAATCCTTTTTTCAATAAAGAGCACACAATACAGACACAATTTACCACATTATTATTGTTCACAGGCACAGTGCATAGTTCCTCCATTTTACAAAAAGAAAAACAACTACGAAAAACAAACCGAAATCTACCTAAAAACTAAGATTTTCCTCACACGTCGATTCGCGGTGCGAATTGCAATAAGCGTAAGGCGACGTAATAATCGCTGCCTCTCGACCGTATTTTCCGTGTACAAACAGACTGACCACTGTCGCTGCAAAGCAGGTCAATAACACTAAGCGAAATCACTTGCAAGATGAACAGGTTATTTCAAGAGGCGCTTTCGCTGACAGACCGTTTGTACGTTTACACAATAAATTTTCTCATGGGTGGTACGTGCGTTTACACACCAATGAATTGTTAGTACATTTACGAAGTTTACGTAATATTTCAGAGAAAATATAGTACCTAATTTAATATTAATTTCTATGCATTGTAACCTTAAAAATATTTATTTTTAAATTTCAAAGTGTAGGGAAGCGGTGCTTCCCCCGCTTCCATGGACCGCACGCGCAATAATTGACGCAATTGATTTAGATCTTTTTAGTGCCATTTGTTGCTGTAATATATAACCTACTCAAAGAAGTATTTTCGTAATAGGGTAATTATTACTGACATAATTTTCTTTTTATTTCATCGTAAAATTTAACATTTTGGAAATTATTTTTAAATGATACCTAACATTTAGAAACACCAAAAATCTTTATTAAACATTAGTATATATCTATTATCGGCATGAATTTTTTCAGTTTTACCTTTCTTGTAGTTTCGGTTAAAAAGTTTCTAAAAGAACGTTGTGCATGCTTATATTAAATACATTGCCCACGCCTGGCCTTAAGAGCGATATCCATGGTTAGAAACTGGCTTAAAACGACTTCAAGGTTCTCTTTCTCAGTTTTAAATATTTTTTTATAAAATTTGGTATGCCTACTAAGCAAATGATAGAGAACCCCGCTGTAGAGCCCGAATTCAGAAAAACTTATTATTTAATTATTTCTATACAAATTATGAAAATTATTGCAAAAAGGAGTCTTTACCGGGAATTGTTATACAAAAATCAACTAATTCTTTCCAATACACTTTTTTGTCTAAAGCGTATATTTTTTGAAAACCTTGAATTACGAAATCTGAGAAAATCTGTCAAGATTCGAATCCATATTAATTGATTTGGCAACAAAGCGGCGGACGTTGGTGGTGCATGCAGTACCGGAAAATTAGGATAAAAGTATTTATGTAGTCATTTAAGTCGCTTATAATGAAATTATTAAAAAACTATATTCTTTTTAGTTCAAGTGTAGGTGTTTTCGTTTCGTATTTAGTTAATGTGTTTATATGAACTTTTATGTGTAAGCTGAGTTATAATAATTTGTGGTAAAAATGGGAAAACTTTCGTAAATGCCGAAAATATTTCCGTTTAGACGGAAATCTATAATATCGTGCTAGATTACTTATAAAAAGACAAACACTAGCACCTCTTATTCCAGTCCACTTCAGTTCCTGCCCTTCTAAGCATAAAAGTCAAAATATATGGGAAATTAATATACTAAGTATTGAATAGAAAAAGAACTTTTAGCTTTAAAGCAATATTCACAAATTTAAGGCGGATGTCCAACAAATGTGGTTTATTTGTGGATGCTGAATATGGTTTTTTAGGTTCCGACGGTTTATTAGGAACCGACAGTATTATCGAAATTAAATATCTTGCCACTGCTTCAAAACTGACTCCGGAAAAAGCAATGGTTGACAACATAATAAAATTTGCAATTATTAATGATAATGGCAAAATGCAATAATTGTTCAGGGGCAACTTCACGTAACTAAACGAAATATTTGTTTTTTTATTATTTTGATACCTTTAAGTATGTTAGTAGAAAAAATAAAAGCAGATGAAAGATTTTGGTGTATATGAAAAACAAACTAAAGCAATTTTATTTAGACTGTATACTACCCGAGATCTTAGATCCACGTTTCACTAGAGGTTTAAAAATTAGAAATCCGAGTAGAAATCCGACCAATAATCAATAAAAATTATTATTTTTATTTCTTCTTTAATAATAAATCATTTTACTCAATGTTATTTTTATATGTATATTTTCAGTACTAGAAAACATTTTTTTCTATACCCAAATGGATATTAGCGTATCTGCGTACAGAATACAAAACGAAAAAATATGCTATTGCGTAAAATGAGTTATACTTGTGTAGAATCGATAAATAATAGCATTTCTAGTTTTATTTGATCTATATTTAGAAATAAATATTTATAAATTTTTGGGGGGGTGGGTGGCTCAGTGGTAGAGTCTCTGCCTGTGGATCCAAGGGTCCCAGGTTCGAATCCCACCGTTGGCCGGGATTTTTTTATTTAATTTAATTCTTTAAAATTAATTCTGATGCCTTGGTAGGATTCCCCACTCGACCATTCACTGTTGGGTTCTAATTAACAGTGCTGTTTCTAAAGTGGCGCTGGGAAACAGTAACAAAGCCTACACAGAACACGAGGCTAATAACTTTAGCAGTTGATACCGATGACACCAAATTAAAAAAAATTTATAAATTTTAATAAAACTATATGAAATCAATTTAATTTATATTCACTCTTGCTACACAAACTACTATTTTCTACATCCACATGGAAATGCTTTTTTCTATACTCACATGAATATTAGCTAATCTACGCACACACTACAAAACAAAAAAGTATGCCATTGCGTTCAACTAAACGAATAAATTTCATATCCATTCTACCTACTAAGAATACTGCAAAACAGTTAAATCCACCAATCAGATTATATTTTGGTCACCCGGCTACTATTATTTTTTAAATTTTATGTAACAATTCTGTCAAACTAACTGTCAGTATATTTTTGAATTATTGAGATAAAATGGCAAGTGTGACGATGGCGTGAGGACACGGAGTTTATCTCCAAGCGAGAGGCCCGAGTTCAAATCAGGGCTGGGGACTAATTAAATTAAATCTTTTTGTATTTTTATTTTATAAATTAGTAAAAGTCTTATATTATTTTAAAATTATTTATTTTGTCTTAATAAAATACTTTTTTAAATTTGTAGAATTTCGTTAGTGTGTCGTAGAAAAAATATACTATACAACTCGAGTGGATTGTCCATATCGCACTCAGACGATTAAGCACTCCGTCTACGGCGTCGTTCTTAAACTTCGTCTTCGTGCAATATGGCCATCATATCCAATTTTGTTGCACAAACTACTATTCACGCACAGACTACAAAACGAAAAAATATATTACTGCGTTCAACTCAACGAATATATTTCATATCCGTTCTAGGTAGTGAGAACACTGCAAAAAAATTAAATCCACCAATCACAGTTTATATATTGGACACCCAACTACTATTATTTTTAAAATTTTAAATAAGTGACAATTCTGTCAAACTAATTGTCAGTATATTTTTTAGGTATTGAAATTAAACATACATTAAAATGAGTTAATTTTTGTGTAGAATCCATAAATAATTTTAATTTATTTTTATTTGGACATTTTAAAAAATCTTAAATTTGAATCAAACTACCTATATGAAACT